TTTGAAAATCAAATGCCTCTTATATGGTTTCACTGTAGAATTTAGTATCGTGGAAAGAACATCCCAAATAATTTTGATCAAGGAAAATTCAAAATTAACTCTATTTTAACGACGACAAAAATATTAGGGAAGGTTGAGTTATTTAAAATAACAAAACTAATTGATGGTATGACCTACTAGAAATTGGTCTATATTTCTCACTGGAATAAACTTCTATTTTATAGGAACTGAAGTGAGATGGATAAATTTGTCACGAAGTTGGACCATTCTAAACCAAGTTCTAGTTGTCAATCCTTGATCCAAGCGAATGCCAATCTTTCCTATCTTATAAATGAACTCCATTTGGGGTCACTTAAAGGCGATCCAGGAGAAAGAACACCTATTTCTGACTATAACCCTAGAATACGAGATGAAGTAAGGAAACATTACATTCAACAAGGTCCTTGTCAACCTTCCAAGCATCAATTTCCCAAAACTCTAATAGGAGGAAGAATGCGTCAATTTGTTCCAAGTTGGTTCAATGGTCAATTTTCTAAATGGTCGGAGTATAGTGTGAAGAAAGATGCGGCATTTTGCTTATGTTTTTATTTGTTCAAAAATGAATTTATTCATGGAAGTGCGGGTGAATTTTATTAAAAAAATAGTTTTAGGGCTTGGAATAAGGGTCTTGAAAGATTGCGTTTACACGTTGGTGATGTTAATAGTGTCCATGATAAATGTTTCAAGAAGATGCTAGATTTATCAAATCATCAATCAATTCAAGTTGTTTTTGATAAGCACTCCGAGAAGTTAAAAAGTGAGTATCAAATGCGTTTAGAAGCATCAATTGATGTGGCAAGACTTATATTATTGTATGGATTGGCTTTTAGGGGCCATGATGAAAGTGAATCTTCAACAAATCAAGGCCTCTTTCTAGGATTCTTACGATGGCATGAGGACAAGCATCCAGATATGGGAAAAGTAATATTAGAAAATGCTCCACAAAATGATACTTTGACTTGCCCTATAATCCAAAAGGATATTATCAATGCTTGTGCAAAAGAAACATTAAAGGCTATAATTGGAGACTTGAATGGAGATTACTTTGTTATATTAGTTGATGAGTCCAACGATATCTCACACAAAGAACAAATGGCTCTTGTTTTGCGTTATGTTGATAAGAATGCTGAAGTGGTAGAGCGATTTGTTGGTCTTGTTCATGTTAGTGATACATCGGCATGCTCATTAAAGGAAGCAATCTACTCTTTGCTTTCGGACTACTCACTAAGTCCATCCCAAATACGTGGACAAGGTTATGATGGAGCTAGTAACATGAGGGGAGAGATAAGTGGTCTTAAGACTTTGATTATGAAAGACAGCTCATCGGCATATTACATTCATTGCTTTGCTCATCAATTGCAATTAACACTTGTAGCTATGTCTAAAAAGCATTTGGATGTCGAAGACTTCTTCTGTCATGTTACTAATGTGTTGAATGTCATTGGAGTATCTTTTAAGCGCAGAGATTTGCTTCGTCATCTTCAAGCTGAAAAACTGGAGCAATTACTTGAGTCTGGTGAAATTCATACCGGGCGAGGACTAAATCAAGAACGCGGGCTTCAAAGACCAGGTGATACTCGTTGGGGATCACATTTCAAAACATTAGATAACTTTATTGTTATTTTCTCATCTATTATTCGTGTGCTTGAAGTGATTGAACATGAAGGTTCTACCTCAAATGAGAGAAATCAAGCAAAATATTTTTTGAGTGAGATAATAACATTTAAATTTGTTTTTATGCTTCACTTGATGTTGAAAGTTTTGGCAATGTCAAATGAGTTGAACAAGATCTTACAAAAGAGAGATCAAGATATTGTTAATGCCGTGGAGTTTCTTAAGATTACAAAGAAAAGATTGCAAGATATGAGGGAAACTGGATGGGAATCTTTGCTAGATGACGTTTCCTCATTTTGTCATATGCATGATATTATAATTCCCAAGATGGATGAATCCTATTTTCCTGAAAAGTCGAAGCGCAAGTCTTCTGGTATTTGTTATTCACACCACTTGCGTGTTGATATCTTTTATGCTGTAATTGATGTACAACTTCAAGAGCTTAATGACCGTTTTGGTGTAGTGAGTAGCGAATTGCTTCTTGGGATGGCTAACTTGAATCCAGTCAATTCTTTTGCTAATTTTGATAAAGGTAGAATAATGGTTTTAGCAAAATGTTACCCAAATAAGTTTGATGAAGTACAGATTCGAGACTTGAGTTATCAACTAGATACTTTCATAATTCATATGCGAGCTGGCAATCCCAAGTTCTCCAACTTGCAAGGAATTAGTGATTTGGCAAAAGCATTGGTTGAGACAAATCTTGTGGAGACTTATTCGTATGTTTATCTACTTGTGAAGTTAACTCTGATTTTACCTTTTGCTACCGCAACTGTGGAGAGAGCATTCTCATCCATGAAGCAGATAAAGAATGAAGAGCGGAACAACATGGGTGATCAATATTTAAATGATTGTTTAGTTTGTTAGATAGAACGTGATGTATTTACAAATATAAGTAATGATGTCATTATTGATCGTTTTCAAAATATGAAAGCTCGTAGAGGACAATTGTAAATAGATTGTGTATGATATTAAAAATATTGTTAGAAGTTTTATGCTTTGCGTCAATTAGTTATAGTTATTATATTTTCTTTCGTTTGATCTATTTGTCTATATAAATAAAAAGGATGTATAACCCGAACCGACACTCGAGTTGATCAAATCGATTAGGTCGGCACTCGTAACCCCTAAATTCTGGATCCGCCTCTGATCTCGGTGGTATCAATATTGATTCGATTAATTTATAATATTTATTTATTTTACCTAAAAGTACGAATTCTCTATACAGCATAAAAAGTGCAATCCTCATGTTAAGAAACGATATATATATGAAATGGACAAGAGGAACTTTCAAATATACACACTTTCAAAAATGTTTTTTTTATGATTTTGTGTTAACACATTATCATTTACTCTATTAAGGGCATATTGCTTGTTGATATTGTTCAGTGGAACATATATTAAGAGAAGCCAAAACTGGAAAACTGTAACAAAAGAATATTGACGACATTAATTATGTTCATTCAACCTTGTATAATTTAAGGCAACTAAAAGATGTATGAAAAAACTAGACTTTCAAAAAAAAAAAAAATTAGTATATGCACAAAAAGAAAATTAAAGATGTACGTGAAATTATAAATTCTATTTGGAAAGCTATACTGTTTATTTGTTGAACATTCTAAAATGGTAAAAGCATACACGCTTCCTTTTTAACATAAAAGCCAGTGTCTTGATATATTTCAATGATCGAAATATTAATGGTTTATATGTTGTATTTATATATGTCATACTTTTGTACGTATATATTATCACGTACTAGGGCATATTTAGGTGTTAGTAGCATGGGGCACGTGAGTCCACGCTCTTCTTTCGATACCATATATAATTATGTTATATTTCTTTTAAAAAAACTAAATATACATGTGTGCGCTCAAATTCAAAGAGTCATATGGTGCAATAATTATTGGATGCACCTTTACATGTAAAGTTAGAGGTTCAAATCTCAGTTTGCAGGCATATCTAGTATCCCTCTTATCTTTTATTTATTTATTTATTTTTTTCTTTTTCTTTTTTCTTTTTTTGGTTTATTCATTCAAAATCCCCAAATTTAACACATTGAAATCCTTCATCTTCTTTTGTAATCTCAAGTTTTTAGATAACTAAAACTAATAGCAGTAGATGATGTATTATGGTTCAATGATTCTAACATTTTTGGTATCGAGTATAAGTATATATGTTAAAAATTACTAAAATTGCAAGAATTTTTTTAATTTTAATCTATAATTTCTAAATGAGAATGGATTAAGAACTTAAAGGTTGAACTCTCAAATACAAATTCTAGATTTACCTCATTCCAAAGTATCCATTTTTTTGAAATCCGGGATCCGCCTTTACGTAGGTCTGATACTATATATTTTCATTTTCTATATGAAAAATATAAGTGTGGTAAGAGTTCGATTACAACTCATTAATGAAAACTTAAAATCGGGTTCGATTCAGTTGGTGTGGATTGTTTGTAAGAAAGTGTTACACCCCTAGTAAGTTTTAGTTTAGTGGCTACGCAAATCCAGTTTTCTTATTTTTTCACTATTAAATATGCGAAAAAAAAACTGTATATAAGTGAAATCAAACATGTAATAAAAGTAAGTCATTTTAAAATTGCAGAAAGGAAATAATGATGTTAAATCGGAATACGTAAGAACCACCACGATATTTTTTTTTATGACAAACATTAAAGAGACAATGATTTGATTGTTCTTTGATCCAACAGAATCATTTGCTTAAATTCACCAACCAATTTCCTAATTCTCCCAATCAAATATTTATTACTCCCTTTGTTTCACGTTAGCCAGGTAGTTTGACTCGATACAGAGTTTAAGAAAAAAGAAGAAGATTTTTGAAACTTGTGGTATTAAAAGCTTAAGAGGTAAAAAGTTTGTGGGGCCATGACATTTGTATAATTATAAATTTTTTTTATTAAGAATACATAGATAAAATAAAAGAGTTTAAAGTTAAATTATTTTTTAATTTAAAAATATATTATTTATTTTGGAATAGATTAAAAAGAAAAGTATGTCGCGAGACGGATGGAGTAAAAATTTTGAGGTTGATCCACTCCTTAAGGCTTCTAATCAACTGACACAGTGCCACATGTACAACCTCGACATATGGGCCATCATGTCCTCCCCAATCAAGACCACATTAAACCCATTTGTCTAAATGACAAAACCATCAGCAAAGTCCAAACCCTAATGCACAACGTACAGCCCAACATTGCACAATAACCCCCTTATATCCGATTTACAAATACACGGTTTCCGTTATATAACGACAGGGTCACGTCCCTCTATAAATACCTCAGTATTTATCCAAAGTTGTTCTCTTACTTAGTCTGCACTCTGTATTTGTTCTCTTCCATTATCATATATTCTCTATGTTCTTCTGCTTCATATTTGTATAGTTATATGTTAACATAAAACCTGCAGCGGAGAATCTGAAACTTCCTCCGTTTACAAGCATCACATTTGAAATTCCTCCTCTAATTGCCGTCGGAGACTAGCCAGCTCCGGCAAATATTTCCGACCAAGATTCTTTAATGCAGCTGTATTTATGATGATTTGATTTTAACCGAGACTCGCAAACGGGTAACCCAAACAAGCAAAAAAGATAGAAGCCATTTTCAGTGTCTTTTAGCTTAGTTGCTGCAACTTCTTTTATCCATTTTAAGGTATGAATATTCAATTTGTCCGACATATATAGTTTAACTCGGCATTGAGTTTAAAAATAATATTTGTATGGTCATGAGATTTTTTAAACTTGTAATGTTAAATAATATATCATTCTTTTTTGAGGTGATTAATAAAGAAACAATGCCAAACAAAAATAAAATGAAGAGAGTATTTGATTTTCTTGTGGGGTTGGTGGGTCGCCATCAAGAGTGTTTTATGGTTAAATGGGGTTTGTCTGTTTGTAGAATCAGTTGCCGCTTTCAAAACTCGACAACGTTTATTAAATTCTACAGCGATTTATCATTCATTCAACCAACCAGATTTTCCCTCTTCTTTCGCCTTCAACTCCTACTCTGCTGTCTACTGATCCTACTACTACTGCTGCTACAACTGCTACACTTTACACTTTTTTCTCTTTTTCCTCGCAGTGAAGAAGCAAAAGGGTGTGATAATTGATTAATAAAGATTAATGATGATGAATAATCTGTCAGTAAATTCGGCTCTATATACTCAGAAAAGAAAAAAGAAGATGATTTTGAATGAGTTTTTGATTTAAATCTTTTCCTTTTTTTTCGTTTTAATTATGAACATTCTTTATTTGGTGTGGGGGGTGTTAAAGCAAGAACAGAATGTTTGGGCACTCAATCAACTCTCTCTCTCTCTCTCTCTCTCTCTCTCTCTTTAATAAACTCTCTCTCTTTCCCTTTTCTATCAGTAGTCCCTCTGATCCGAAGGCTTCTTTGTCTCTNCCTCTCTCTCTCTCTCTCTCTCTCTCTCTCTCTCTCTCTCTCTCTCTCTCTCTCTCTCTTCTTCTTTAATAAACTCTCTCTCTTTCCCTTTTCTATCAGTAGTCCCTCTGATCCGAAGGCTTCTTTGTCTCTTTTTCTTTCTTTGTCTCTTTAACTTCTTTTCTTTTTGTTTCTGTTGTTTGCGGATTTTGCCTTTTGGGTGGGGAAAGAACATAATTATGACTTTGGCTTATAGCCTTATCATTATTCTGATCAAGTTATTTTGATATAACATTCAGGTATTCTCCATAAACTTCACAGTTTCAAGATTTGAGTTAACATTTAATTTTTTTTGTTCAAATTAAGTTTGTAGACTTTTTTTTTTTCAAAATAAGGGGTCAGAGTATTATTTACTTTGTCTTGTCATCTTGTGTGCTTTAATAAAGATTCTATAGACTATATAATCTTAAGTTAGGATTAATGTAGGAAAGATATTATGTGAAATGAAAAGGAAGATTTCTTTCCTAAATAATTCTTTGTGGGTGGCTATCCCGTTTATTTCTCTAAAAAGCCATTTGTTTGTCAAGATGGCGGTTCCTTGAGTTATTTATTATCTATATGTCACATTTTTTTAAGGGAAAGCCAGCTTGAAATAATTTTAAAAATTAACCTAGAGAAATCAATATTTACAAGGTATTATGATTCTTCAGAGTTTTGAGTGATTAGATTAAAAAATGCAACGTTTTACATTATCTTCCGAGCAACATAACAAAGTGTATATTAAACTATTTGATAATTATGTTGTGCGCTTTTTTTTTTTTTTTGGCTT